GCCCCGCGGAGCCGCCGCACGATGCCGGGGCCGCGCGGGCTCTGCCTGCTCGCCCTGCTGCTCGCCAGCCCCGCGGCCCCGCGCCCAGGTAAGCGGCCAAGAGCGGCGCGGAGCGGGGCGCCCGGTACCGGCACCGGCACCGCCGAGCGCGGCTGCGGAGGGGAGGGGGCGGCCGCGGAGGGGCGGGGGGCGGCCTGCCCCCTTGGCGGGGGGCGGTTCGGGAAGGGGCTGCTGGAACCGGCCCCGCTGCTGCCCGGCGACCCCCGCCCGGTGCCCGCGGGGTCCCCGCCCGCCTCTCCTGCTCCCCTGGCCGGGCTCAAACTTCTGGCGCTGCAGGAGCGCAGCGCGCCCGGCCGCAGCGCGCCGGTATCGGCACCGGTACCGGTACCGGCACCGCATCCGCACGGGTACCGGCACCGCATCCACACCGGTACCGGCACTCGCGCCGGTCCCGTGCGCGGCAGGACGGCGGCTGCTCAGCACCGCGGGGCGGACAGTTCCGGGCCGGGGCACCCGCAGCAGCCGGGACCCCCGCGAGCCGGGCCCGGCCGAGCCCCCCCGGGACCCCTCGGTCAGGTTCAAGGGGTGGGGGTCCTCCAGAGCGTGTCCAGGGGTGCAGCAGTGCACGGGGAATGCCCCCCCACACACACACTCCTACTCCCCTTTCCTATGGGGAGGGCTCCCGGCCCTGTCCAGGCCGCAATGCCGGGCCCAGGCCCCCCCGGACACTCCCGTCCCGCTGCCTTGGCACCAGCAGCACCCGCGGATTCTGTGTGTTCATTGCACGTGCTCCGCGTCGCAGCGCCGCTCTGCTCCCTCTCCCTTCCACCACCATGATGGCAGGGATAAGAATAGGTTTCAGCACTCGCTGGAGGGTGACTTGACAAAGTCATTGCAAGCGAGCGTGGGGCTGAGGGACGGCTAATGCGCCGCCTGCCCCGGCGCCTGCCAGGCTGCACGGACGAGGCTCCGGCTGCTGCTGGCGGCTCTGCTGGAACGAGTGCCGCGCTCAGAGGATGCCCTGGAGAGGCCAGTGTTGGTGCGTGCTGCAGCATTTGTGCAGGGCCGGGAGAGTGACCTCCAGGACGGATTTGGTGCTTGAGCACAGATTAACAGTGCCCAGGGTTGGGAGCACCGGGCAGGGCTCCTGGCTCTGCTTGTTTGGGCTGCATTAAAGCGCTTGGACAACTCAGTCTCGTACCTGGCTCTTCAGACAGTTTCTAGAATCTGTCCTTCTTTCTGAGTAATAAATCAAGAGAGACACAGAGGGATGGTGGCATTTTCTTTCCTCCATGTGCACGTTTGCATTCTGCGTGTGAGCATCCAGGCAGATAATCCCGAATCAAACTTGCAGCCTCTGTTTACAGTGGGTGACGGGCAGTAGCGGCAGCCGGCAGGGCCGTTTCGCCACCTTGGCCGGACCCTACGAGACACGTCCGTGTCGTGCGCTATCCGCAGGGCCGGCAGCCGGGCTGTGCGAAGCGGCGAAGCACAACAGGGAGCCACCCTGCCCCAGCTCCATTGGGAGCCCTGGACCTGCTCCTCCGCAGCAGGATTCGGCCCCCGGCACGCACAGTCTGTCATAAATCCCGGGATAGGAGAACACAGTGTGCTGTGCTCCTCTTCCGTTGGCAGGGAAGGAGCTGATAGATCGTTGACCCTTTGCGAGACGCAGTGAATTATTGCTGTAAAACCCCGAGGCTGCAGCGGCCGCAGGGGTTTCGGCTGTGCTGGTTGCAGGCTGCGCTCCTGCAGCGGTGCCCTCTGCTCCACGCAGCGCTGGGGCCGCTCGCACCGCGCACAGACCCACATTCTGCCCTCCTGTCCATGCCTGGGGGGTCGCAGATCCTGCATCGCTCGCCCTTCAGGCTGCTCTGCCCGTGGCTCTGTGGTGCTTTGCACTAATGGAGTCGTGTAGATCAACAGGGAGGAGGTGTGAGAGCTTGCCCCGCTCAGCGCCGTTTTACACCCACCTGCCACACAGGGACCAGCAGCAGGGATGAGCACCGGTCCCTTTGCAAGCAAACTTGTGCAGGAAACTCCCGGCGCCAGGACACACGAGAGCATTTATTGCAATAGGCAGCGTTTGCAGCACTGTGTGAATGCAGGGTGTGAATAGTGGGGAAGGCAACGCGGGGCCGGGGCAGCGGCAGGGCCCGGCTGCCGGCTCGTGTGCCCGAGCGAGCGCGGAGCAAGGACAGAGCCTCGCGGAGCATCGTGCTCGGGCACACACGGCCGGGGGGCTGCGGGCTGCGTCCACCGCCCCGCGCAGTGATGTGGACTTTGTCCACTAGAGGTTGTGCTGAGACCAGGACAGCCGCCCTGCGGCGCCGCGGCTGGAGCAGAGCCGCGGGCCGGGGGCTTTGGCTGCACCCTCCACTACCCTGTCGTCATCTGGGCGCTGCTTCGTCTCCTCCGGCTTGTTTGCACTGGCCAGGCTGCGGTTGCAGCTGAACAGCCGTGCTCTCTTCACCTGGCCTTGCAGGAACATGGCACCAGGGAGGCTTTTTCCAGAAAATCTGTCGCATCCATCAGGAAGAAAAACTGAGTGTGGTCTGCAACAAGTTTGCAGCGAGCTCCCCTGTGAGCAGCAGCCCCGGGGCACTGGCATCTCAGGAAAGGGCATGGAACCCACGGCCAGCGGCCTGCAGGGCCCCCAATATCCGTGGGAGGGATGTGTCTGATCGGGAGGGATCGGAGCTTTTCCATCTGCCTTTTTTTCCCTACCTTCCTTAATGGAAAGAGACAGTAAAGTCAGAGCAGCAGCAATAAGATTATTATCTCCTAGCCTCCAACTTCTGTATTTTTGCCCTTATGAATATATCAAGATACTATTTAAAATGCACATTTTTCAGATGCTGATGTGCTACAAATGCTTGTTTCTATATGATATTTCATCGAGAGGTTTGGTGAAAATGCTTGGATTTGAAGATGCAACCTATAGGACAATTCAGTCAGAAGGGGCACCCCGAGCAACACCTATAGTCGACTTACAGAGACCACGGCTGCCCCGGAGGGCCAGGACTGCACGTGTGGCTGTCCAGGGCCAGCCGGGCTCTGCACATCATTTTATATCCCGTTTTATGCAAGCAGTTTATTTTTAACGACACACGAGCTGCACGGTGAAGCGAGCCGTGGTGTGGGCACGAGACGGGGCGCTTCACGCCCGTGCCATGGCAGGGAGCATCCTCCGCTCCTCCGGGCTTCCAGAGAAAAACCCTTCCGTGAGCAATCCCAGCGTTACTTACTTGGCGTGATTTTATTTTTCAAACATTTGAGAGCGATTACTGAGCAGTAAAACACGCTTCAAGGAAATCCTGTTACCAAACACAGGCGCTACTTTAATTAGCATAATGTGCAGCTACGGCGCTGGAGCCGGAGCCTGCCAATGCACAGATCTTTGGGGAACTCGGATGCGCGCCTGGAGAAGAGGGAAGCGCTCGGCGGCTCCCGGGGCTGCAGCCCATCAGGGCGAGGGGCAGAGGATGGGACAAACGGCTTGAAGAGGCTGGGAGAGGCTGCAGGGAAGCGAGGGAGGATTTTAAGCTGTCCTGACACCGGGTGCTGCAGCTCAGTCGTTAAGTGCCAGGATAAAAGGAGGCAGAAATGCTTCCTGGAAAGCTCTCCTTTCCTCTGATGTGCCCAGGGGCCCCTTATTTCAGAGGAGAGGCCACCAGAGGTCGGTCTGTCTGTCCTTCTTTGCAGATGGTTAGTAAGTGACGTGCTAAGGATGCTCTCCAAGGCCTGGAGCCGCCTCGGGCGGCCTTGCCGTGAGCAGGGAACGCGCGGGACAGGCTGCGCCGGGCGGCACAGACGGCTCCTGCTGCCTTGCAGCGTGGTGGCATTTGCTGGGAAGCAGAGCCGCCCCCCACGGCCTCTGTCCCTCCATGGAAAGGATGCGGGGACGATGGAGAAGAGGAATCGGTGCTTTTCTGGTGCTCGGAGCAAGCCCTCTGCCGACACTGCCGGTCTGAAAGGCAGGAAAAGGCTGGGAGATGCTGGATGGCTCCAAGGAGCGCGGAGTCGGGGCTGAGCTCCGTGTCCTCTCTGCAAGGAGTGCGGAAAGAGCGCGGAGAGGGAAGGGCTCCAACCCGCCGGGACAGATGGCGGAGCCGGGAGGCACGGGGAAGCTTGGTGCAGCTGAAGCCAAGCTCCTGGCAGCCGCAGGGAGGGGATGCGCGAGCAGCCGGGATGGAGCGCGAGCTCCGGAGGCGCCATCCGCATTGCCAAGCTTTCCTCTAGGAAACAGAGCTGGTGCCAAACGTGGGAGAGGCCAAAAATTCAGAACGTGAAGGAGGAGAAGCGGTGGGACGATCCCGAGGGATGTGCCATGGGCTCCCTGCTCGCAGGCCATCTCTGCCTGTTGCCACAAGCAGCGGTGCACGGAGCTGCAGGTACAGGCCTTAAAATACCTGTGATTTGATGGGAATTCCCATCCAACTTTTTAAGATGGATTACCGGAGCACGGCTGCACTTGATGGCTAAGAGCCTCCCTCTCCAGCAGGACAGCAGTTGGGCACAACACCGGGGCCAGCAATTTCTTGCATTGCTCTTGCTGCATCTACGATGCTCTCCAGCTCCCTCCTGGCTGCGTGTCTCTGTGACAACCTGGACGGAATTTAAGCAACCTGGATGAAATTTAAGTGATTTAAAAGCAACTCGGGGAAAAAATCAGGCTATTCCTGACAGAAACCTGTATTTCCACTGGTGAGCATCCCAAGTGCCTCCATCTCTGGTGGGGCCTGGGTGCCTGTGCACTGCAATGCAGCAGGTCCCCGCTGCCGGGATGCCCACGACGGGAGGACCGAACTCAAGAATGGGAAATCCTGCCGACGGAATTAACGGAGGAGATCAGAGAGGAGCAGCACTCTGCTTGGGGCAGCGCGGTGTCACACAGCTCTCCTCCTGCTCTGGGAAACGCTGTCTGTCTGTCTGTCCATCCGTCCTCCCAGCATCATACTGTCATGGGAATCACTGCTGTCTTTTCCATATCTTTCCCCTCCATGAAATTTATTGCTGTGGCTCCCGTCTTCTCTAAATGTCACCGCACCTGGTAATGGGCTCTGGTGCGGGGGGCAAGGCGCAAGG